TCTGACAGGAGAGGACTCTCCTCCACCTTGGTGTAGAAACAGCCCTTTATATCCGTTAGCATAGCTAGCTAACCAGATGCTAACAACAACATTCCACGTTACCGCTCGCGCACTCACAAAATGCGCTCGTGCCACACACACAGAGAGCCGAGCTTGAATGAAACACAGAGACCCAGAAGTAGGCTACTTGTACTGTACTGTATATCATATTATTTTCGATGGCTTTACTGTATAATCAGTGTAACAGATGAACAGATCGCCACTGGGCTTTCATCTAAACACACAGCCACGTTATGATAACAAAACAAAAGTCGGGGGTCATTGGTCAAGCAACACACCAATCAGAGAGCAGCAGTGAGCACACCTCAGGCTGTGTTTCATATTTGTATTATTTATTTCTGATGTATTTCACACAAACAACCTTTAGTGGAAACGTTTTCACTTATATGATTAAAAGAAGAAAAAAACGGCAAAGTGGCAAGGCTTGCCCACCCTGCGTTGGGGGGGCACAGTGACTCATTTGGGGGGGCATGGCCCGCGAATGACCCCCCATGACGCCGACCCTGCCCGAGCCCCAGCCCGCCAACAACGTTAGTGGGGGTTAGCCAGATTTACGGGTAGGCTACAATCACGGACACACATTGTCAACAAGAAAATGTGAGTTTGTGGTAAATGTTGATATCATATGGTTGTTGTTACTTCGTGTAGCTCGGCCGCCTAGCTTATTTCCTTTTCTGTCTCTCGGCTGTAGTGATGATGATAATAGGGACGACTCAGCAGCTGCTAGCTGCTCGTCTAGAGGAGAGCCAGGCCTGACGCTTGACCAGCCGCACCCCTCCGGCTCCTTACCTGCTGCGCCACAAGGTGAAGAAGTACCGGACACTGGGAATGAAAGCAGCAACAGGTCTCCTCCTCAAGATACGCCTACGGGTGAAACTCAGACCACGAATCATGATGTGTCCTGCAATTATCCTCTGGAGCGTTTTCCGACTGATTGGGCAAACTATTTTGAAAACATTGAGGACGCCAATATCAAAAGATATATCCTTAAAATGGGCCCATGCAAACCCAAAGGTCCATTTCCCAAAGACAAGGATAACCGTTGCTTTTCAGAAAGCTATTACACCTCCACCACTAAAGTTGGGATGAAATTTCCATGCAGCTGGATGTGCTATTCCCCACAATTGGACTGCTGCTACTGTGAGCCTTGCTGGCTTTTTGCCAACCGAAAGGCACCGTTCTACAACAATGCATGGGTAAACGGAATAAAAGACTGGAAACATCTTTCTACTAAAATTGAGAGGCATGAATCCACTCAAATACACCTTGGTGCATGCGTAGTATATGAGCAGTGGAAAACCAACGGCACAATAGACTGACATGGAGAGGAATGTGCGTAATGCCGCCCAATTTTGGAGACAGGTCGTGGAGCGCATTGTTAATGTAACTCTCACTCTAGCTTCAAGCAACTTGGCATTCAGGGGCCATCGAGAGGTTCTAGGTCAGGGAAAAGCTGGCAACTTTTTGTCAATAATATAATTATTGGCTCGCTACGACCCTGTTTTGAAAGAGCTAATCAACCGACCAGAAGGGTCAGTGAAATACCTCAGTCACCAGATTCAAGATGAGATTATTTACATATTATATCAACGTGTGAAAGCTGACATCATTGATGAAATAAACGAAGCCCCATTTTATTCCGATATCATGGACACAACGCAAGATGTGTCAAAGATAGACCAGTTGAGTCAGGTTTACCGTTACATCACTGTTGTTAAGAACGATATGGATATTGCAACAGATATACAGATCAATGAAGTCTTTTTGGGTTTTGAAGTGACTGAAGGTTCATCAGCTTCAGAGCTTGAAAACAAAATCCTTGGTTCTATAGAGAAAAACGGATTAGATCTGTCTAAATGTCGCGGACAGGGCTATGATGGGGCGGCTAATATGAGTGGTGTGTATTCAGGCGTGCAAGCAAGAATAGCCGAGAAGGAGCCCCTTGCCCACTATGTTCATTGCGCTGCTCATAATCTCAACCTAGCACTCAACGACTCTGTTAAAAATGTCCCTGGAGTGAAGCAGTTCTATGACACTATAGAGACGCTCTACAACTTTTTTGGTCACAGTATCAAACGATGGGCATTGCTCAGTGAGTTAATGACGCCAGAGAGCAGAACTATCACATTAAAACGCTTATGTCCCACTCGCTGGTCATCTCGCCATGATGCGCTTGTTGCGTTAAGGCACAGATATAGACATTATAAAAGCCCTCGTCAAAATATCCCTTACCAGTGACAAAAAGGATGAGCGCAATGAAGCAAGTGCACTCAAGAATGCCATAAGCAAATTTCGCTTTCTATTTTTGGTCAACATGCAGACCAAGATTTTGGAAAGCATAAATTGTGCTTCACAGTTACTGCAAGCAAAAGACGCGGATATTCTCAAAGCATCTACTCTACTGCAACATTCCATCAGTGTTTTGGTGGAGTAAAGGGGACAATTTGATGAGGCGAAGTCCGCCACTCTTGCCCTGGCTACTAAATGGGGAAGTCAAACACAGTTTGAAACAACCAGGGCCAGGAAAGTTAAGAGACACTTTGATGAACTTTCTGAAGACAGCCGCCTCACTGACGCAGAGAGCAACTTTCGGGTGACCGTTTTCAATGCATGTCTCGATATAATCATCCAGCAACTGTCCCAAAGATTCACCAGCTTAAATGCAACTGTGAACATGTTTGAGGCAATTCACCCCAACACACTACTTCAAGCAAAGGATGAGGATTTACACCAAGCTGCTCAGCGGCTTAGAGAGCACTACAGTCGGGACATCGCCGCCAGCTTCCCTGGCCAGCTGCTTTCTTTCAGAACCTGTTTCAGGGACCAAATACAAAAACTAAAATCTGTCGCGGATCTGGTAAAAATGCTCATTGTTTACAACCCAGCAGTAACATCTACATTCAGTGAGGTTTGCACAGCCTTCATCTTATTTCTGACTCTTCCTGTCACCGTGGCAACCGCCGAGCGCTCTTTCTCCAAATTAAAACTCATCAAAAACTATTTGAGGAGCACGATGGGACAGGAGAGACTGAGTGGACTGGCCTTGCTGTCCATCGAAAGTGACCGAGCCAAGAAATTGGACATACAGCGGATTGTGGACGAGTTCGCGGAGCGCAAGGCTCGCCGAGTACCCTTCAAGTAGTGGTGAGTACACTTCAAATTTAATTTGTACAGTAGCCTACTTGTACGTGAATGTATGGGCCGCCGTGCACTTTACACTGCTCTGCTCTCATGATGGCTGCTGGCTGTCCATGGTGAATGGTGTGTCAGAAATGTAGTCATTTTATTAGGCTATGTTTTCGTTGTCCTTGTGGTTTGTTGGACTTTATGTCATGTTATATCATTATTATCTCTGATATATATTTTGTTTCTATACCCTTTGTAGAAACGAAATCTTAAATATTACACATTTTCTTTAGTTACTTTTCTTTCAAACATTGTTTTAAATTGTAATCTTACTGACTGAGCGACTTTTTACGCACGAGCGTCAGATTACCACCCCGGACTCCCGATATTTTTGTCAAGCTTTATTGGGTTTAAAGGGCCCGGTCATGTGGCCCCGCCCCCTGGCCCGGGTCTGATATGTGCCGCCAGTGATGCAATTGTACTATGGTATGTGGTATATTTTCATGCACGCACGGCGCATGTTCCACAACACACCAACTGAACATCACTCAATTGTCCGATCGCTACCAGTGTCCTTGCGAAGTGCACGTTACTGATGCAATATGGTTGAGACCATTCAGGCTTATTCTAGAGGGGTGCAAGGAATAGTAGGAAAGTAGTGGGGGAGTTTTATACAATATGTTTAAAACATAAAGATAAAAATGTTTTAAAAAGTTATTGTTTAATGTTTTAAGGAGGTGACACTACTCAGCCAATCAAATCGGTGCAGTCAGTGAGTCAGCACGATAGATTCAAACACACACACAGAGACGAGACAAGAGGAGAGAAACAGTCTTAATTTTCTCTTACTGGACCTCTTTGAAATGCAATTGAATACTCCTGCATTATAGCAACAACAACAATAATAATAATTATAGCAATAATAATGGGGGGGGGCACGGCTGTTCTTATGTTCTCTGAGGGGAGGCTCACCTTCCCACACTTTGAAAACCCCTGGTCTATAGTGGTGTTTAGAGCCAATGGGTTTCTCAATGGGAGGAATACAACCAAAATCTGGAGCTGAAAAGTAAACTGTACCATTCAACAAGTTTAGCATTAAAATCTCATAACCAGCACACACACACAATTCACCTTTATTATCCGAGAAAGGCTGCAGGGTAGAGGGTGTGCGTGTTTGGCCTCAAAAAAGAATCTAGGCCAGTAGGACTTTTACACTCTTAATAAACATGCTGGAAACACACAGTTTAAGGACCATTTTAAAAGTAGATCGTACTTGATGTGAAGGAACACCTTTGATTCAAGCTAGGTATAATTAGTTTGTGCCTTTTTGAAATCACTTTAGATTTCTATGATTTAGATGCAAGTAGCTGGTTAACATCTGTGTAATTCAATCTAATATTTAAATTAAATCTAATATTTTAGCAATCTAATATTTAATATTCCATTCCTCACATACTTATGTATATATAATATCCTGCTTTATATTTTGCTACTGTACATTTGTAATTCAACATGTATATTTTCTACTTTTTTTTTCTAATGCTATTTTATTTCTATTGAGATGTTTACATTTTGGAATGTTTATTTCTTTTAATTTTTATTGTACAAAGCCATATCTTTATATAAAGTACTTCTTATCTTATCTTATCTAAGAAGCTTGAATTTTGGGTTATGGCTTTGGTTTTTAACCAATATGCCACACATTTCTATAACACATGAGCCAAATTTCCAAATCTAGATGGATTAAATATCACTTTTGACTCTTTTCAAACATGGTTGTGTGTCTGGTAGAAAATCAGAGTGAGGTGACTCACCGATAAGATCTGGTCCCCTCTCCTCAGCTCTCCGCTCAGGTCAGCAGGCCCTCCGGCCAGGATGAAGGACACAAAGATGCCCCTCGCCGTCTTCTCCGCCCACAATGTTGAAGCCCAGGCCTGTGGAGCCTTTGTGCAGCACAACCTTCCTGGGTTCCCTGTACAGACAGTTCAGATAGTACATCAGCTCGGGGGTGTCGGTAGGTTTCAGCATCTCCAGGCCGGGCGGACATCAACCGACCAAACACGGTGACCAAAACCTCCGAGCTGCTTTGCTAAGTGACAGAGCTGGAAGAGTGCTGGGCTCCACAGGGGAACGCTGCTCTACTTAAATCACTGTCCCCGATTCAGTTCTGAAGCCAGAGGAACCTGATCACATGCTTACGCACACTCTCACTCGCTTTCTCTCTCTGCTCCTCTCACAGACACATTAGCACACACACTTACATGTGTATATGTATGTGTGTGTAAACACCCAATCTAAGTGTGCCCTTCAGGGAAGTAATAGCATTTTTCGGGGGACTGACTCAGATTCAGGCCACACACTTTCATTCTGAGAAGATTTGTGACAAGACAGACTACACAAAAAACATGTATATGTTTTAACAGTAAATATATATGTTTTTACAGTGAACATATGAGCAAGGTAGGAGTGAAAGACAGTAGTTCAACTGCTGCACTGTCAAACAAGCATGATATTTATCAAACCACACAACACTGAAAACCAGCTGTTTTGATTTAGCTAGCAGTAATTCAAGTGTCAAAGTCTCAAAAATGCTACAACTACTGTCACAAACTGGATGAATGTGAAGTATTTTGTTAACGGAGGATGAAAGCGTAATTAAGGAGCACTATTGGAGTGACTTTGATGGTTATTGGACTCAGGATTCATTCATTTGGATTCCCGCTGTATGAAGAAATTAAAGGACGGCGCAAGTGGAAACAATTCACAAAGGGATTAAACTGTTTAAAACACATGCTCAAAGTAAGCCGGATTTTGCCGATGTGTTTATGTGGATTCAAAAGTCGTAAATAATCTACAAAATGGAGGAGACCGATCTGATCGGAGCAACTGTGACGAATAATCCAACTGAAACCAGCATGGACAATGACTATGTTTTAAAAATGCTCTTATCCAGAAAAGCCTGGTTTGGACACTTTACGGGCAGAAGAAACATTTCTATTAAAGAAAGAATTATAAATTTCTGTCTTTTTATGCCTTTAATACTAACTTGAATTTTTATTAAAATTAATTAATCAATTATTTTTTAGATTTTATTGTAATGTACAAGGCTTTTAGCGACAATCATGTATTGCTTTACAATTACAGTATATGTAAAAAAAAAAGAAAGTCTAAATATGATATTTGGCCTCTGAGGCTTGGCGCCCCCCCTGCGATCTTTGGCGCCCCCCCGGGGGGGGCGCGCCCCCCAGGTTGGGAACCACTGGTCTACATCAACGGGACCTTCCTTCCTCCATACAGCGTCATTTTGATGACATGGCAATAATCCACAGCATCTAATCTGTCTTTTGATGTTAACCAATGGAAGCAGTTTACAAGAAACCTACCTGCAATGTTAGGACTTTTGCCCCAACACCATTATAGATCTACTGGTGTGTCACGTTGTCCATGTGATTACACTGATACATGATTCACATCTGATTACTTCAAAAAGAGCATAGACATAAGTGAGCAATACATTCGGCTATAAATGCACAACATCTACGAATTGCTTGTAAGTGATTTTTAGTATTGGTTGTGCAGCAGTGCTGGAGGTAGTTACTGAAGTTGAATAGTGCTGCTTTCAATTCATACATTGTGGAAGCTAAACGTAGGCAGGCAGTGAGAGCTGTGCACGAGGAAATGGTAACATGGCATGCCGTTTAAATACAGGAACAGATGTGGTGGAGGTGTGAAATACCTGGAGATGTCCGAGTCAGGGAACAGGCTTAATTGATATGGGAGAGGGGCGGAGTGGAGGAGGCTTTTGTCACACTCCACTGGGGAATAGTGTCGGGGGGAGGGTGCTTTGTCACATAGTTTGTTCACAGTGCTGTAAACTGGCTCAGGAGGCCTACAGTGGAGTGAGAGACAAGAGCAATACGGTTAGTGTCCAGAGACAGGGCGGGGAGAGGGTCTGTGATACATACAATGGAGGCACACAGATGAAAACCAGGAAGAAAATATAATCAATCAAAGCATTATATGTGATATACTTTGTGTGTGCTCCATTGGAAAAGTCATCATCAGGAGGAGGATGAGGATGAGGAGGATGAGGAGGAGGAGGAGGAGGAGGAGGAGGAGGAGGAGGAGGAGGAGGAGGAGGAGGAGGAGGAGGAGGAGGAGGAGGAGGAGGACGGCCTTCGCTCTACAGGACGTTACCTCACTTTGTGTATGGGACGCAGTGGAGAGTGTGGTGTTTGTTGTAAATGGAATTTGGTTCTTTCTGGTTAAGCACTTAGTCAGAGAGAACATGCTTTATATAAAAACTCACGATCAATAGCATATACTCACCAGATATTCTTATATAATGAATGACTTATTTTCATTATCCACTAATCTGTTATTTCCCACAACCGTGTCTTTAAAGAAAATCCTTTAGTTTGAGAAGCTGCAACCTGGAAATGTTTAGAATGATATGCTTGACAAATGACTTCAATGAATTACAAAATGATGAGCCTATTCAATGATGTAATTGTTTTTTTGACATGGTTAATAAAATAGTTTTATAATGTCACATATTGGTATTAAAGCTTAAATGATTTATGGTTTTTAATTCATTCATTTTGGATATGTACAAATATGTAGCGGGCTGATCAAGGAGCTATTACATATAATCTATTTAGGTTAAAAGTAGTGTAAGATATGGTTAGAATTTAAATGTACAATATATTTATAACACAATTAACATTATCAACAGGTTGTGAAGATGTTACAGTGTGTTGCACTGAGTCAGATATCCTCTGAAACTAGCATGCTAACAGCTAGCCCTGGGCCAGCTGCCTGGTGGGGCATGTGTTCCTGTAGAGCAGAGGTGCCCAGTACGTCGACCGCGGTCGACCGGGCAATGCTGGTAGATCGCGAGTCATTCATACAAAAATAATCCAGCTCCGTTAAAATAGACAAAACAGGTTTTGATCCCTCCTCCCTTGGCCTCCCTGCCACTTAATTCAGGAGTTTACTTGATTGAGGTTACCTACTGTAACCCCAGCTTCTATGAGTAAATGGCGCAGCCCTCTAAGGCTATCGCTATTGGGTAAGCCCCCTGCGCCCCCGCACAGCACTGAAAACTTGTAGTCCACGCCCACCCGCAAGGTGGGCCCCACCCTCGGGCCTCCTTCCGGTATAAATAGGAAGGAGGCCCGGCAATCTGCTCTCATACAAAATAACTTTTCTTCAGCTATTCGTAGAGCCAGTGGGGCCCCGCACTTAGAGGGCTGCGCCATTTACTCATAGAAGCTGGGGTTACAGTAGGTAACCTCAGTTCTATTTCGTATATGGCTTCGGCCTCTAAGGCTATAGCTATTGGGTTAAGGGCGAAGCATGATGTAGTCTGCGCCCTACTGGGTCCGCCCGGCACTAGAAGCACAGACACACCTGCTCAATAACACCCCCTACAGGTATGCTGTCCACACGAGGCGTTATAACGGTGCTCGTGGATTTATTATGACCGTGTGTAATAGGCATATCTGGGACAGAGGAATGCCGCGAGCTCTGCAGTTTATAAACCAATAGGTTAAAAACAGCAGGCTTCTGCAGCGAATAAACCACCTCTGGAGTGTCCCCCTGTTGGAAGAGACCCAGGGGAATCCCCACGTGACCAGCTGACGCCAACGCCGAGCAGCTGCGTCACGGAGAGGGCTGTGTGGGTTGTGACATGCCGGAGGAGAGCTGTCAGTTCCTCCACTCGCTGCCGCGAGAGCTGCGCTCTGCTGCTGGCTGAGTTTAATTCCACTCCAGATAAACGTTTGTCTGAGAGGGAAGAGGACAGCTCTTCTTCCAATTCATTATAAAACCCAGGCTTTGACAGATGCGATATGAGATGTACCGTCTGTAAAGCGACTTCCTCCCTGGAGCGAGCCAGCAAATAGCAGGTCGTCCAGAGAAAACCACACTCTCATCCCTCCTCTGTGTAGTGGCTCCAGCCTTCTCTACACAAAAATGGGAGGAGCCAGGAAATATCCGAACGGCAGACGATTGTCTGGTCTGATATTCCCTGAAATGGAAAACGCAGGAATTTCCTGTGTTTCGGGATGAGGGGTATGTGGAAGTATGCATCCTTCAGGTGGAAGTGAACCAGTCGTCCTGGTGAACACATTCCAGCACCTGTTTGATCGTCAGCATGTGGAATACTGACAGATCGAGGATGTCTCATTGCCCCAGTCTTTTTCGGGATTAGAAAAATAACGGGAGTGAAAACCCCTGATTTTCCTCCCTTTGAGGAACCCTGGAAATATCCTCTTTCAACAGGAGTTCCAGCAGCTCGGATTTGGAGCGCAAGACACTGTTCCTGGGATGACAGGAGTGTTTCTTGTATCCCATGGAACTGCGGGTGGAGAGGCTTCTCTGAGATATGCTGTAATGGTCGTCATGGTGACGAGCCACGCCCTCACCCTCTCCGCTCGCGCTTCTTGAGGCGAAAGGGCTGCGAGGGAGTTTCCACACGCTGCATTTCACTCCGTCTCTCATCATGAGGCGCGTACATGCCCAGAGGATGAGAGGTGTGTGTATGCTGTCCACACGAGGCGTTAACGGTGCTCGTGGATTTATTTTGACCGTGTGTAGGAGGCATATCTGGGACAGAGGAATGCCGCGAGCTCTGCAGTTTATAAACCAATAGGTTAAAAACAGCAGGCTTCTGCAGCGAATGTACCACCTCTGGAGACTCCACCTGTGGGGGAGACCCAGGGGGATCCCCACGTGACCAGCTGACGCCAACGCCGAGCAGCTGCTTCACGGAGAGGGCTGTGTGGGTTGTGACATGCCGGAGGAGAGCTGTCAGTTTCTCCACTCGCTGCCGCGAGAGCCAGGCTCTCATGCTGGCTGAGTTTAATTCCACTCCAGATAACCGTTTGTCTGAGAGGGAAGAGGACAGCTTTTCTTCCAATTCATTATGAAACCCAGGCTTTGACAGATGAGATACGAATGTACCGTCTGTAAAGCGACTTCCTCCCTGGAGCGAGCCAGCAAATAGCAGGTCGTCCAGAGGAAACCACACTCTCATCCCTCCTCTGTGTAGCGGCTCCAGCCTTCTCTACATAAAAAATGCGAGGAGCCAGGAAATATCCGTACGCTATTTCCTGTGTTTCGGGATGATGGGTACGTGGAAGTATGCATTCCTGCGCTGCCCGTGAGGCAACCCAAGGTGTGCTTGGACCGAAAGGGCTGCGCGGGGGCCTCCACACGCTGCGTCTCACTCCGGCTCTCATCATGAGGCGTGTACACGCTCAGGGGATGGATGGAGGTGTGTGCAGTTCTGTCCACATGAGGCGCTCATGAGTTTATTAAGGCCGTCTGTAGGAGGCGTATCTCGGACAGAGGAATGCAGCGAGCTCTGCAGGTTATTAACCGAGGTTAAAACCGGCAGGCTTCTGCCGCGAGCCCTGCTGTCTACTTAATCAACAGATTAGTGGCAGCCGGTTTAATTAGCGAGCTCTGCAGTTAATTAACCGATAGGTTAAAACCAGCAGGCTTCTGCAGCGAGTGCTGACGCCGTGGGGCTGCGGGCGCTGCCACTGGGGGCACTCAGCCTGTAATGGTCGTCATGGTGACGAGCCACGCCATTGCCCTCGCTGCCCGTGAGGCGAAAGGGCTGCGAGGAAGCCTCCACACGCTGCGTTTCACTCCGGCTGTCATCATGAGGCGTGTACACGCTCAGGGGATGAGTGGAGGTGTGCGCAGTGCTGTCCACATGAGGCGTTATAACGACGCTCATGGGTTTATTATGACCGTGTGTAGGAGGCGTATCTCGGACAGAGGAATGCCGTGAGCTCTGCAGGTTATTAACCGATAGGTTAAAACCAGCAGGCTTCTGCAGGGAGCCCTGCTGTCTACTTAATCAACAGATTAGTGGGAGCTGGCTTAATTACCGGCTCTGCTTCCTCGGAGGCTCTCGCGGAGCAGACCAGGAGCAGGGGAGCCTCACTCCCCTTTGACTCGCCGCCGGGAGACCCTGTCTCTGGGGTGGTGGGGGAGCGGAGACGTGGGACGGAGCCCCTGCAGCCGCCGAAGGGCGAGTGTGATGCCGAGGCGGTTGCTGTGGGCGTCTCTCCGCTTGCGGCCTCCTGTAGCCGGCGTGCAGATCTGTGTCACCCACGCGGAAATCCTCGTCTGGGAGACAGCAACGGACGCGCACAGAATGAGCGCCGTGCTGGCCGCCTTGCTGATTTCCTCTGCCTCGGTGGTGGACCGCTCTACCAGTGTCACCACCGAGTTGGAGAGCAGCGCGATGTTATTCGCCGCTGCGCTGTGGTGACGGAGAGGGGGAAAGCATGTTCAGGGGGAAAGCATGTTCGGCCGCCAAGCTGGCACCCTGCTCCGACTCTGTCTCCCCCGTCCGGGGGAGAGGAGGGAGGGGAGAACCGCACGGTGAACCGTGGAGGGAGGCGGGGCAGGAGTTGCTTTTCTTCGGACTCCTGCCCGGCACTCGGCCCCAGGGACACGAGGCCCCGTCCACGGCTCGTAAGCCTGGACGGGTCAATCGTCCTCCTCGGCCGCAGCAGCAAGAGCGTCCGCTCTCCGCTTCCTGTCGCCCGAGGGGAGACGGGCGCAGTGTGTGCATGCTACCTACTGCACCTACGCGTGCTCTGACCCCAGGCAGGATTCGCATACTGCTTTTATCTCTGCTGGTCATAACTCATTATGAACCCAGAGCCACATGAGGGACACGGACGCAGTTGTTGCTCATGATGATTCTCAATTGCTGTGCTTCAGTAACTGTGCTGGTTTGCTGAAGAAAAGAGGGAGCAGATTGCCGGGCCTCCTTCCTATTTATACCGGAAGGAGGTCCGAGGGTGGGGCCCACCTTGCGGGTGGGCTTGGACTACAAGTTTTCAGTGCTGCGCGGGGGCGCAGGGGGATTACCCAATAGCGATAGCCTTAGAGGGCGAAGCCATATACGAAATAGAACAACAAAATGAGTGCGGGACCGAACAAAAAGCTAAAAACATACCACTTCCACCCAGAATGGGAGGAAGAATATTTTCTTGTGATGTCACATTCAAAGGTTATTTGCCTTATTTGTAAAGCAAGCCTCGCTCTGCCAAAGAAAGGTAACGTGGAGAGGCATTATCGGAGTGTTCACAAGGTATATGACAGCGACTTCCCTCCGAGTAGCGAGTTGAGAAAGGTCATGTATTATTGCTACACAAACATTATCTCGCAGTCTTAGTGTCGCCAACTCGTTTCTAACATGCAAAAAGACAAACAAATGCGTCTATGGTCGGTGTATTTTTGATCTTTCCAATCGAGACGAGATCTCTCTCTCTCCCCCGTCTGTGTGCGAGGGGGCGGGGCAGTTTACACACAGCAGCTGCTACATGCAGCAACACACGGCGGGGATGGCGGAGAGAAGCGCTCCAAGGTGTGGTTAAATGTTACCCGTCTTGAGGTGGACAATGCTCGTTGCCAAGAGTGTTTAGCATGTAAGGGCGGAGCAATTTGTCTAAACATTTAGCAAAAGTGCACCACATTCAGACGGAGGAATTCACCGGGTTCGACTGTCTTTCTAGTAGCTCTGTAGCGTTCCACGAGTAACGTTTCCACGTCAGGTGTTATGTATGCTAGCAGCAACACACGGAGTTAACACAATTATACAAACATGGGTTAATGATTAGAGGCAGTGGCGAGCCGTCAGGGCCCTCTAGGCCCTCTGTGAGGGCCTAAGATATTCTAAAAAATAATATTTGAAAACATTAAAAAAAAACATTTAAACATTTTTTTTTTTTTTGTTGTTACATTTTTCATTAATTTTACCAAAATAACTTGATTTAATTGTATTTAAAATAATATTTCCAAAGAAATAAATCCTTCGAATCTGCCTGTTCAGTTTCTGTTGGAATGCCGTCTCTGCGAGTTACTGTGAAGACGGGAGGGCTTGTTGGTCCCTCTCTACATTCACAGAGGGCCAGCTATAGTAACTGAACGAGAGAGTAATGTCAAATGACAGTACAATTGACCAATCATATCTTCCCTCTAAATGGGCGGGCTTTATTTTCGCGGACTTTATGACAAGTTCCGCCCGCTGTGAGGTTTATGCAAGTGGTGCAGTGACGCATCCTAAAACCCGGAAGTAAGCTTCGCTCGGATTCCCTCGACAAAAGAGCAATGGGATTTCTCCATAGGGTTTTGGAAAATAGCTCGAAATAAGGTCTGTGGAAAACGAACCTGTTAGATAAATGCACGTTTTGTTCAGCCGGATAATATCCACATGTCTACCCTACTTTTATTATTTTCGAATCATAAATCTAATCGATAAATTTATGATCGATAGATTTATGATCGATAGATTTATAATTAGCATAAGTTCGTTCATGATGGCTCACTTCAGTGATAGTGATGACATCGTTGCGAAATTATTTTATCAATTATTTTTCAAGATTGAGTTACAATGATAAACTGGAGTGGCAAAGGATCAGCTGAATGACCCGCAAGTGCTTCATCCAAAAGGACAGGAGGATGGACTTTGTGTTTAAGTGATTTGATCATCAGAGGTAGGCCTAAGTCATTTTCAATGCGGACCGCCGTGCCGACATAATTCATTTGTAATTGTTACTTGGCTGTGGGTGCCCTGTCATGATAGGTGTTTATATAAATGGAGTTGTTTTGTGTGGTAGAGGGTCGCTGTCATTGATACGTTTCGCATCCCGGGCCGCTGTTTTGATATTCCGCTGAAGTATACGCTATGACGTAATATCTCTTCTTTTTTTTCGAGGGAAGGGGGGGGGGCTTAGGTATAAAAGTCACGGCTCGCCACTGATTAGAGGTAACAGAGTTACTCTTTATTTTGTTAAAGTTTCAGCTATTCTGTTTACAATTCTGTCATCAGATTATTTAATACGATTTGGTAAAACATTGTTGTTTCTTTTGATGTGAAATATTATTTATTTAATTAATAAAAAGCTATGTTAATTTTGTTCACAATTTGTTAAGTTAATTTAATAATATATGTATTTTTGAATCAAGTATTCATCTTTATTGTCTTCATTGTTAGTTTCCACATGCCTAAAACAACCTCAAGCTAAATCTAAAAGTTGATGGCTAAATAAGATAAGGTGACCAGATTGTCAAAATTATAACCGGGGACATTTTGAGTTTTGCGGTCAATATATCATTAACATATCCAATTTTCTTCACTGTAATTCGAACATTTGAACTGTTGGATACAAACAGAAGGACGATAGCTCATATATGAGACTTCAGGTCTTTTATATTGAAACTGTACATCAGATTGTCAAGATTCTCTCTGAGTGATTAGATGGGGTGTCCTGCTATCACCCTGAAGTGAAATACGTAAGTATTTGATACTGGATTGTTTTAGTTTTATTCTTATCTAAAAACAGAAGGATGATAGCCCATATATGAGATTTCAAAAGTATTTTATTTTGAAATTCTACATCAGATTGTCCTGATTTTCTCTGATTGACTAGATGGGGTCTCCTGCTATCACCCTGAAGTGAAATAAGTATTTGATTGACTTCGAGTGACCCTTTGATTATGGACGGTTTCCATTAAATAATAATCAAAATATAGATGGACAATAGATCTAATTTGAGATTTTAAACAGCATACATTTTAAATTGTGCTCAGAAAGTAATGTTATTTTAGGAGTGTTGTGAGATGGTGTCAACATCAATTGAAATTAGTCACCCAGTGGAAATGTCAGATATGTCTTCATAACTATACTTACATTTTACATTCACTCAGTTATAATGTGGTAGTTATACGTAGTTTGTTTTAAATTATTATTGATTACATTATATAGTACATATTTCTTATTTAAGCTCCAGTATATATGAATATGTTTGGTGTGTTTTTTAGGTATATTTGTTATTGACCGAGTAAACGCTTTTATTTTGAAGGCAGTTTTTACAGGCCTCTACCGTAATGCATAGGATATTCGCGCACCGCAATACAACGTGCGGGCTGGCTTGACTGTGTTTTCCGAAGTGGGGGCTGGCTTGACCGCAGTCTGTTTACCCAGTGTGTCCTGACATGAAACGTTTTATTTCACCTTGCTATGTGTTTTTAACGTATATTAAATAACGGGGACATTTCCGGGGAGAGTTTCAACCGGGGACAGGCCAATACAAACGGGGACTGTCCCCGGAAAACGGGGACGTCTGGTCACCCTAAAATAAGAGCGTTTGAGAAATTGTGCAAGACATACAGTAATAGTCCGAATAGTCAATTAATCGTTTCATTAATCGATAGATTAATCGATTATCAAATTAGTCGTTTGTTGCAGCCCTATTGTAGTTATCCCATGTATAAATAAAACGTGTTATTCAGCAACCCTTGCAATTTGGGATTTTATTTTTGGTTGGTAGACCTCGGTGAGCTGGTCATTTCAAAAGTAGCTCACCAGCCAAAAAAGTGTGGGCACCCCTGCTGTAGAGGCTCTCAGAGCACTAACATGCTCCCACTGGCTGCGGAGCCACATATCCATGGTCTGTAACTGTTTTATAGTTTGTTCTTTGGATTGATCGCCAGTTCTGAAAACGTTCTGTTGCTCAAATCGACAAGTGGCTCATCCTCAAAAAGTCAAATCATGATGTTTTTTCAATTTTCATCAATTCCTTGGCGGATACAAGCGGCCCGAGATGGGTTTTCTCCGCAGGGTGGCTGGTGTCTCCCTTAGGGATAAGGTGAGAAGTTCGGTCATCAGGGAGGGACTCGGAGTTGAGCCGCTCCTCCTTCGCGTCGAAAGGAGCCAGTTGAGGTGGTTCGGGCACCTAGTTAGGATGCCACCTGGGCGCCTCCCTAGGGAGGTGTTCCAGGCACGTCCAGCTGGGAAGAGACCAAGGGGTAGACCTAGGACCAGGTGGAGGGATTATATCTCTTCGCTGGCCTGGGAGCGCCTTGGGATCCCCCAGTCAGAGCTGGTTGATGTCGCCAGGGAAAAGAAAGTTTGGGGCTCTCTGCTGGAACTGCTACCCCCGCGACCCGACCACGGATAAGCGGAAGAAGATGGATGGATGGATGGATCAATTCCTTGCGACCAATAGCATGCTAATGGGACATGCAGGGCATGCAGATTGTGAGTGAGCAGTATACATATCTCACCTTAACTGGAAGTGCTGGGAATCAAACCTGTGACCCTCGCCGTCATCTAGCGAGGCATTTCTAATAAAATAAAAATAGTGCTCATTCATTTTTGTTCATACATTGATACTGATGAAATATATACTTTGGGGCATGCGGCGCACACAAAATAGAGATAGCTGAAACAGAAAAGTAACGCCCTTAAAGAAAGTGAATCGGAGATTCTTCCACAACAACATCAGCACACATCAGTGTCGGGTGTTAGTTAAGTAACCTACTGCACACATCCATTGTGTGCATGTCTGCTGTTTGTGAGCACTCAAGTGTAAACTGGAGCATTCAGTTTTAAAAAGGTCATTTATTTGTAACCACCAAAATCACAATCTGAAAAAAAAAAAAAAACTGGGTTTTCTCTGGAAGTTTTTCCTTGTACGATGTGAGGGTCTAAGGACAGAGGGTGTCGTTTTTCTAATACTGATATTCTGAACAATCTGTGCTGTTGTATTTTCTGTAAAGTGTCTCTACTGTAGGCTATTTTTATTATATGTACAGCACTTTGGCTCGACCAAAAATCGTTTATAAATGTGCTATATAAATAAAACTTGATTTGATTTTAATCAAATAAATCACTTCAAATGAAATGATTCACCTGAATTCAGTGTATGTCTGTCTGCTCTTTTGTCGTATAATACTCTACTGAAGCCTCAACATTTAGGGACTCCTTCAATTATTGGAGCACATTTAAAGAGCGATATCGCAGTGACTATAGCTAAAGAAGGAAATCAACATCTACAGTCCTTCTTAGCATTTCAGCATCTCAAAAAATGAATGACAAAAAGCCAATGACATTACTGACCAATATCGCAGTGCCATCAAAGGAGAATTGAGTGTGACAGTCATAGGACACACAGGAGCCGGAGAGGTCTGGACAGTTGGCTTGTTTCTCCTGCTGAATCATCTGGGATAAGCTGAGCTGAGGCAGCCAGTCAGTTCAGATCAGACCCAAACGCAGCAACCTTGTGAAGATCCGAAGGTGCCATGGAGATTTGGTCAGATGTACTGCTCTAACTCATGACCCAGACGTTTCGGCCCTCTTCTCTTTCTGAGCTTTGGTGTTTTACTTGTCACATTAGTGATAAAATACTGGAGTTGCTTTATCAGTTATAACAGGGAATGAAGATCCATCTGGCTTTATCACAATGTGTGTTCTAACTGGGTGTGGAGAACACGGTGAACAAGAGCCGCTGTCAGAGTGCTTCACTGTAGGTCAGCGAGGTAATCTCAAGAACCTTGGCCAAGAGCGAGTAGTAAACCTCTTAACTCCAAAGAGAATGGAGGGCTAATCCCTCACTCAACAAAGTGTAATACAGGGGTCCTTCAGTTATCCTCTAAAATGGGCTTTTGTTATCACTATGCTGCAGCATTCCATCACCGCTCTTTATTTCGGGGTATGACAACACAAGAAAATGATTGCCACAGCACGCAACAATGACCTAATCCCACAGAGCAACACTAACAAGTGATGTATTTACTTGTTCATTATGATATCCACCATATCCTTGTTGTGCTGCCTACAAATATATGCTTCGGTTTGCCAATCTTCTTTCAAATACAATACATATTTATATAAACAAGCATTTCTCTTGATATTTGCCTTGATAGGATATTTGGCCAATTTGGGGGTGAGCCGTGTGGCGGTTTAATGTGGATTAGGGGTTAGGGCAGCTGAGGTGGAGCTGCTAATATTTGGCTGTGACTCTGACGGACAGACATGCAATAGATGCCGTGTGTAGACGTCTTAAGGTCTTCTGATATTTTGGTCTGCCAAATTATAAACCAACATGTTCAGAGCCCATGTTATCCAAGACTGGGTTACAATTCCAAAAGACTTCAACTTCAAAAGACCTCATGAAAGAACAACAAAGAAGTGAGGATACCCGGCCCGGAGGAAGCCCGGGGTCCCCTTCTGGAGCCAGGCCCAGAAGGAGGATTCGTCAGCGAGTGTCTGGTAGCCGGGCTTGCCACGGAGCCCGGCCGGGCACAGCCCGAAAAGGCAACGTGGGCAACACCTCCGCTTCTCCGTCCCGCGGGCCCACCACCTACGGAAAACAGCGATGGGGTCGGGTGCGCTGCCAGAAGGGTGGCAGTGAAAGCAGAGGGTCTCGACGGACCAGACCCGGGCGACAGAAGCTGGCTTTGGGGACGTGGAACGTCACCACTCTGGGGAGGAAGGAGCCGGAGCTTGTGCAGGAGGTGGAGCGTTACCAGCTGGATCTGGTTGGGCTCACCTCTACGCACAGCGTCGGCTCTGGAACCTTACTTCTGGATAGGGGTTGGACTCTATTCTTCTCTGGAGTTGCTCAAGGTGTGAGGCGCCGGGCGGGTGTGGGGATACTCACAAGTCCCCGGTTGGGTGCTTCGTTGTTGGAGTTTACCCCAGTGGACGAGAGGGTCGCCTCCCTACGCCTGCGGGTTATGGGGGGGAAAACTCTGACTGTTGTATGTGCTTATGCACCCAACAGCAGTTCAGAGTATACGGCCTTCTTGGAGACCCTGGAAAGACTCCTGTATGGGGCTCCTGAAGGGGACTCTTTAATCTTGCTGGGAGACTTCAAAGCACATGTGGGCAATGATGGAGACACTTGGAGGGGCGTGATTGGGAGGAACGGCCCCCCTGATCTGAACCGGAGTGGTGGTTTGTTACTGGACTTCTGTGCTAGTCATGGATTGGCTATAACAAACACCATGTTCGAACATAAGGATGCTCATAAGTGTACGTGGTACCAGAGCGCCCTAGGCAGAAGGTCCATGATCGATTTCGTTATCGTATCATCGGACCTGAGGCCCTATGTTTTGGACACTCGGGTAAAGAGAGGGGCGGAGTTGTCAACTGATCACCATCTGGTGGTGAGTTGGGTCGAGTGGCGGGGGAAGCCTCTGGATAGACCTGGTAAGCCCAAACGTGTAGTTCGGGTGAACTGGGAACGTCTGGAGGAGGCCCAAGTTCAGGAGGCCTTCAACTCACACCTCCGGCGGAGCTTTTTGGGCATTCCTGTGGAGGTTGGGGACATTGAACCAGAGTGGTCGGTGTTCAAAGCCTCTATTGCCGAAGCCGTGGCGGGGAGCTGTGGTCTCAAGGTCTTAGGTGCCTCAAGGGGCGGTAACCCTCGAACCTCCTGGTGGACACCGGTGGTCAGGGAAGCCGTCCGACTGAAGAAGGAGGCCTTCAGGGATTTGTTATCCCGGGGGACTCCCGAGGCAGTTGCAAGGTACCGACAGGCCCGAAGGGCAGCAGCCTCAGCCGTGGCCGAGGCAAAGCAGCGGGTGTGGGAGAAGTTCGGAGAAGACATTGAAAAGGACTTTCGGGCGGCACCAAAGTTATTCTGGACTGTCCGACACCTCAGGAGGGGGAAGCAGGGAACCATCCAAGCTGTGTACAGTAAGGATGGGACGTTGTTGACCTCAACTGATGGAATGTTAGGGCGTTGGAAGGAACACTTTGAGGAACTCCTGAACCCGACAACTCCGCCCTCTATGTTAGAGGCAGAGCTGGAGTATGACGGGGGATCGACACCAATCTCCCGCAGGGAGGTCACTGAGGTCGTCAAACAACTCCACAGTGGCAAAGCCCCAGGGGTGGATGAGATCCGCCCAGAAATGCTGAAGGCTCTGGGTGTTGAGGGACTGTCATGGTTGACACGTCTCATCAACGTTGCGTGGAAGTCGGAAACAGTACCCAAGGAGTGGCAGACCAGGGTGGTGGTTCCCCTTTTCAAAAAGGGGGATCAGAGGGTGTGTGCCAATTACAGAGGCATCACACTACTCAGCCTCCCCGGGAAAGTTTACTATAAGGTACTCGAAAGGAGGGTCAGGCCGATTGTCGAACCTCAGATTGAGGAGGTAAATACGGACTGGTCATAAAGAACCGGGTGATTTGCTACTAACTAACTAAGTTCTCCTCCATTTTTGTGGAATATAGAAATGAACTGCGGATCTGGTTCTCCCAGCTTGCACGCGGTTTGATTGGCTAGCGCTTGAACTGTCAGATTTGCATAAACGGATCTGATTGGCTGTCGCTTCCAGCTCAGCCTCAAAAGTTGAACATTGTTCAACTTTGGAATCCTGAACATCCTGGAAATCCTGGAAATCTTCGCCTCGCCCCCCCACAATGCAGTTCGGCGACAAGCGAGGGAAAGTGACGTCATCCCCATTCAAAGTCAATGGGCGGAGACGCGCTGGAAGCGGTGGACAAATCGCCAAAAGCTGCTGTGTGTACGGGCCGTAAGACACTTTACAGCTCTTAGAACAATCTTTTGAACAATTCTCCCATAGTTTGAATTCCTCACAGCTGCCTTATGCTGCTTGTAGTTTTTTCTACACACACATGAATGCACTCCTGGCTCTGACCATGCAGTCTTAGGTCACTTTACTGCACTGCTTTCTAGAAATAGCGGTTGTAGAAATGTACCCTATTAATGAGCAAGCTTATCTATGCAAAAGTAACATAGTAACTTGTCATATCAGCTTCTGTTTTTTCACAACCCAAAAAGCTCAACTAATCCCTGTAAAAGATATAACAATGCACTCGTGACACACCAAAGATAAGATAAGATAAGATGGACTTTTATTAATCCCCCGTGGGGAAATTGTTTCTCTGCATTTGACCCATCCTAGTGTTAGGAGCAGTGTGCTGCCATTTTGAAGTGCCTTGCTCAGGGACACCTCGGTAGCATTTAGGTTGCGTTCCGATAATCCAAAAATCAGCTCCTAAATTCTAACCCTATCTCCTATCCCTTGACCTCTGAGTGAAACGTCACGGAGTTAAGGGATAGTGGATAGGAGAATTCAAAAGGACTTAGGAGAAGAGACTGCGGTACTTTAGAGAATCGACTGCACTTTCACTATCCGACGTGTTTATGATGCGCCAGCGGACGTCCTGAATGTGCGTCTGCTGCTGCTGTGGGGAAACTATGGAAACTACAGTTTTCTATACAGCGGACTACAACATGGATGTTTAATAAGAACGAGGGACTACTGTAAACTCATCTAGAGACTCTGCACCGTGCTCTGATGCTGTTGCTTTATGCTTTATGAACGTGGACAACAGAGAAACATATTCTTCATGACCAAAGTTGGAATTGAAATAAAAAAGGAAAGTGAAACTTATGCTCGTCACCCTCTCCCTCCGGTCCACATTAATACAAATGATCCCAATACGTATGATTGTATGAAAAGATCTTAAAATCAATAAAGATGTATTTATTATAAACGTTAGTCCTTAACATCTATCACTGTGTATATCACCATTCAAACATCTTTTAGAAGTTGAACAAACCCCACACAGCTCAGTGAAATGTTGACTTTATTTGATCATTTCAGTAAAAACTAACGTTCATATTTCTCTTTTTGATTATAATACTGATGAACGTTCAAAACAAAGCACTTTGGCAACTTACCACATACGTTTTAAAATGCTTAATAAGCACCGTAAGCAACTTTCATGATATCATTTCTCCCATAATCGTTTGTGTCCGTGAACGGCCGACTGTTGAGTGACGGCAAATGCTGCGGCTGCAATGCATTGTGGGGCAGCATTTTCTCCTCTCCTTTCGGTTAGGGAGGTCCAGCGGTTCCTAAGCTAAAGGAGGTTATAAAGGAAGTTTGAAACCTCCTTTCCTTTCATTTGGAGAATTGGAACGGCACTTATCATGGCTGCCAGTGACGTACTTCCGGGTCATTTCACTCCGTTAGGAAGGTTCCTAAGCTAAATGGACTATTGGAATGCAACCTTGGTCTTGCCGGGACTTGAACTGGTGACCTTCCAGTTGCGAAGCCAAGTCCCTATCGACTTCGCCACCAAAGCCCCCTTTGTCTAGGAATCATAGAGACATTCAGACACATACACAGAACCCAGGACAGGGAGTGGCGGTTAAAAGAACCTGTTCCTGGGGACCGTTCAATACAACATCCTGATTGGGAATCAGGGGCACCAAAACTATATTTTCAAATAAAAAACAGGTGATTCCAACACAACATGCACATGTTTTCTAATTGCACCAGAACTCAGAATGGGGTTTCAATTGAATTGCCACACATCAAGGGGCACAGATCAGTCAGGACAGGGGGGGGGGGGGGGGGGGTTCTACCTTTGTAGTAGTCTGGTAGGAAAGGGAGGTAATTACCGTAAAAAGGAAAAACCATCCAACCTGTTTATATCCTCTTCCCCAAGTAAGTGCTTAGGGAGTGGGGAATAACTCCCAGGGGAGATGGGGGGGAGGCCAGACTTGTACTCCAGAGTGCCACAGTTGATGGGGGAGGAGATATGATTTTCCATGGCTGGAGAGAATGCTGTAGAGAAGAGAGAGAAAACAAAACAGAGCAGCTGCTTGAACAGTCAAACCCAACACACACATTTCCCTCATATCACAAAATCATTACTGCGTCATTATTATCTTCAATGTTCTTTATCTCTAATATTCTCTCGAGTTTTTATTTGAAAGTTAAAATACAGGGGTTGGATTCTAACCACTCAACTTGTTTTTGAATTGATGTGAAAATTCAAAACATGTATATATTATTATACATTATATTATATAATCTTTTATCTCAACTAGACTACAAGGAAATAGTGCTACTTTGAGATTTTAACTGGGACTGGTTAACTACAGTATCAGAGGATTTTAAAAACCTTTGTATCTCTTTGAATGTTACTCAGATTGTGGACAGTCCTACTCGCCCTAACATTAAGTCCCCTAATAAATGCTCCCTATAAATACTCATCTGTGGGAGTATTTGCGAATGATGTCAGTGACCACTGTGTTGTAGCCACAATTAGGGACACTAAGGTCCAAAAGGTTAAACCTCGTATTATTATTAAGAGAGACATAAAACATTTTGTGGAGCAGGGTTTTGTGCATGATCTGTTTGGGTTTGATTGGGGAAAAATTGATCTGTGTGCTGATGTAGAAACTGCATGGTCTTATTTTTCTCTTGGTTTTATGGAGATCATTGATAGACATGCACCCCTGCGTACATTTAGAGTGAAGGGACGAGACAATCCTTGGTTTTCTGCTAATCTGTCCAGTCTCCTTCATGAGAGAAACAAGGCCTGGGCAAAGGCTAGGAAATCAGGCTCAGAGGTAGAATGGCTGCGTTTTAGGCAGCTAAGGAATAGCTTCACTTCAAATGTCAAAAGTGCTAAGTCAAAGTACTATTTGTCAGTTACCACAGAAAACCTAAATAATCCAAGGAAATGTTGGAACGCCATAAAATCGATATCCACCGGTGATATCCGTGATGAGCTACCTCCGTGCCTTACCACAGCATCTGGCACTATATCGGACAGGGCCACCATGTTAAATTGCTTTAATAAGCATTTTGTGTCCTGTGGTTCTCTATTTGATTATGTCACTAACTCTGCTTCTGTGAACACCACAGTCTGTGACTCTGAAAAACGTGTTTTGGAAAACCCTTTCAGTTTTACCCCTTTTACTGTTGATGTTGTTCGTGAAGCTTTAACCAAGCTAGATCCTAAAAAGCAGGCTGGTCCGGACAACGTAGAACCTTTCTTTTTAAAGATAGCTGCAGATTTTATTGCTCCACCTCTCACTACTCTTTTTAACCTCTCCCTCAGCACAAATGCAATTACAAAAGTATGGAAGTCAGCTTATGTCTTGCCTTTACTAAAAGGTGGGGTGGCCACTTTATTAAATAATGATAGGCCCATCTCTAAATGGTCAGTTCTGGCGAAGGTTCTTGAACGCTTAGTGAGTGAACAGGTAAAGGAGTTTTTAATGTAAAAATGTCATCCTATGTAAACATCAGTCAGGTTTCAGAAAGCAACATTGTAAGGTTTCAGCATTAGAATACTTTTAGTTTATTGTCTTGTGTTCCTAGTTTTGTCACCTTCCGTTTTATTTTGGTAAATGACTCTACCCTCTCGTTTCAGTTGTCTTCACTTCCTGCCCTTGTGTGTCACCTGTCAGCCTGATTGTTGTTCCTGCCCCTGATTGTTTCCACCTGTGCCCCATCACCTAATGTATGTGTGTGTGTATACAGTATATAGCCCTTCTCTCCCTTTGTCTTGTGCCAGTTCGTCTCGTCTCTACGTCGAGTCCATGTCTGTTATCATAGTGAATCTTTTGTTTATTATCTAAGTTTTTCCTATTAAGTGATTTTGTTTGTAGTTTTAAGTTTGTAACTTTAGTCTTTTATAAATAAAATATATTTTTGAGTTAACTGAATCGTGCATCTGAGTTCCTGTGAGCCCATCGTGTCAAACATAGCACCATCACTGCGACAATGAAAGTGGTGAATGATATTGCTGGTATTTTAGACAATAAGCAGAGTTGTGCAGTTCTGTTTATTGATCTTTCCAAAGCGTTCAATACCGTCGATCATCACATCTTGAAGCATGATTCTATCGCACATTGAATACTGTTTTACAAACTGGTCGTTTGCTTGTGCCACAAACCTGAAACCCATAGAACAGCTGTACAAGAGAGCTATCAAGGTGTTTGACAGAAAGCCACATTCATACCACCACTGTACCATCCTTGAAAAACACGATTTCTTGAGTTTTGACCATTTTAAGTCTTTTAAAAGTATGTGTTTTTTTTATAAATGTTTACATGGACTGCTCAAAGCTAAAATCCGGCATATTTACACTTGAAGTATTATTTGTTTTAAGTGTTCATTAATGTGCATTGTCCCTATTCAAATAAATGATTAAATTAAATTAAATGAAGCAGAGGCTGGCCAGTATTGGCATATCCAGCCATGCAGTGGGTGGTTTGTGAACTACCTCTCTGAAAGGTCCCAATGTGTTCACTTTGATGGGCTGTCTTCTGAGTGGTTAAACATTACTAATGGTATACCACAAGGTTCTGTTTTAGGTCCACTATTATTCTCCATCTACATCAACAGTTTAGGTGAAAATGTGGATGGAGCAACTTTACATTTGTATGCGGATGATACCGTGATGCACTGTGCAGGTCCCTCCATTAAGGAGGCTTGTGTTAAATGACAGGCTGTTTTTAACATTATTCAGACGCAGCTCTCTGAACTAAAGCTTCTTTTAAATGTTGATAAAACCAAGGTAATGCTATTTTCAAAAGCCAAAAAGACACCAGGGACCGCTTTGGATATTGTTACTGCGCAAGGAAAAGTACTAGAAGTGGTTGCCTGTTATAAATACCTGGGTATCTGGCTTGATGATTGTCTCACTTTTAAACTTCATGTCAATAACCTGCTTAAAAAGCTGAGGGTTAGGCTAGGTTTCTTCTACAGGAACAAGTCCTGTTTCTCGCTTGAGGCCAGGAAAAAGCTCTGTGACCTTTTGACCTGTGCTGGACTATGGTGATCTGATGTATATGAATGCACCTGCCCAATGCCTGAACAAGTTAGATGCCGCCTATCACAGCGCACTGAGATTTGTCACAAATTGTAAAGCACTTACACATCACTGTACACTGTACACTGTATACCAAGGCATGTTTGCCATCACTTACTGTAAAGAGGCTCAGTCATTGGTACACGTTTATTTATACAGCTTTGTTGGGTAAACTCCCGTCTTATATCTGCTCTCTGATCACACAGAGAGTTGCAGGTAGCTATTACCTGAGATTTCATGATGTGGTCTTGTTACATGTGCCAAGTGCTAGGACTGACTTATGGACAAAAGCTTTTAGGTGCGCAGCTCCTCTTGCTTGGAACAGTCTACAAAAAGAATGGAAACTGAGCAATTTGGTTCCACTGCCTGTTTTTAAAGCATGGATAGATGCTATGCAATCTGATACTGTTGGTACCTGTACATGTTGATAGGTATGTAAATTGTAAACCTGTAAATGTGTTGTATGATGTCCTTTTTGTATTTCTGTTGTTTTATGTTTTTATGTGTAACCCAGCAGTAGCTGCAGGTGTCCCTTGAAAAAGAGATCGATGATCTCAATGGGATTCACCTGGTTAAATAATGGTTTGAAATGAAATGAAATGATATTTGCAGAATATAAAAGCAAGCAGAACTGTACAATGTCTAAGTTATGTCATAAGTGTAACTACACAATAAAGATAACGTTTTATGAAGCGCCTTTCCAGTGACAAATTGAGTTCATTTAGAGACTGAATAACAATGGTATTTAATAGCGAAATGTTATAACTCGCCTTATACGATAAACAAAGGAGGTTATGGTTGTGATTGGTCACTCACTCTTGAAGTTTAATTAAGCAGTTTTGCCTTGCTTGTTGATTTCTGTTATTATGTCAGTGGCTGTGTGTGCAGAAAATCAATGGATGCAGCATAAACATGTTAAGGTTTTGTGTATTTGTGAAATATAAAACGGATGTAGAGAGATGCTTAAAAATCTCACACTACACATGACACAGTTGTACTTTTACACAGCTCCCTGCAGTATGTAACACTTTTCTAACAGCTGATGACTCATCATTTTAAATACAAAAGGTGAGGACTTACAGTGTGTGATATCAGGAGGCCCATCGGGATCTGACAGGTAGACATTGGTGGGCTTTCCCACCTTTAGGTAGACCACATCCGACGTGTTCTTCAAAATGGCCACAGCTTCTTCATGAGACACTTCCTCCAGACTGTAGTTGTTCACCTGTCCACACACAGATACAGTACAATCAGCAGTGTGATTTATTCCTGCTGTAGAGATCCAACCGGCCTGCTCCCTGCTTCCAGGAGACTGGATTAGGACAGATGGTGTTCAAGGGACAACACCACAGTAGGAAGGTAATGCTTTTAGGCGCTGGTTAAGCAGGAGGGCTGGCTCTTCAGACAAATCCTGTTCCATAGCTGAGCCAGGGCCCGTTTCATCACGTCATTATCAATTAGACTGAAGCTGTAAGACTATTGTCTGATGTGTACACTGCTTGGTTAATGTACTGTACAAAGTGTGACATGATTCAATGAATCAACATTAGTCTCTTGCATATCTCTCTCTCTATAACAGGGTTTGAATAAACTTGACAAAGGTTTGGTTATTTAAAAATCTCGACAGCAGGCTCTTGTGATGTCAAAGGCTATAAGGAGTGGTGGACTGAAGTACTGCACTTACAGTTGTGAGGTACTTGTACTTTTATTAAATCTTTACATTTTCTTTTACTCCATACTTTACTCCACTACAATTCAAAGGCAAATATTTTATTTTTGAATTCCACTATATTTATTTGATAACTTTAGTTACTTTTATGATGCAGGTGATAATATCTGTGCATCGTTTCTGTTTGTTTATGTTCCTTTACAGCTAAACTTAACTAAGCCACGACTGCTTTTCGTTGTGCAACCCTGGTTACAGAATGACAATAAATTAGCCTTGATCCTTATGAATCCTTGAGTTTAAATTCAGATACCTAGTTTACCATATTAGCACCAAATAATTTGTGATATAGTATTGTAAGTACATGGTAAATGGACTGCATCTATAGAGTGCTTTTCCAGTCTATACTTTTCAAGAGTGCTTTTACTATACTAGTCAGCCTTCACACACAATAGTGGCAGAGCAAAGGCAGCCATACAAGGAGTCTGTTAAACCCAATTCCACAACATTTCCACCCCCCAAAACTGACCACTGAGTTGGAACAATTCAACAACTCTAAGCTTCATAGAGTGCCTGCTTATGCGCTAACCTTTTGTATTAGATTTTCTTTCAATTGTTTACTTTAGTGTGTTGGCTGTTTGGACATAAAATTGTTTAACGGTTCCACTGAGGTTCAGTGAAGAATTACTGTATTGTTTTAATGTGAAAGTATCTCTGAAAATATACCTAACATTTATTTGCTTAAATATACGTATGCAAGCTTTTAAACTTAATCAAGTACTCACCATTAACAGCCTGTCCCCTACTTGTAGTCTGCAGTCCTTCTGAGCTGCACCGCCATCAATGATCTTGGTGACATAAATGCTGTTGTCACCTGGGATGTGCTGGTTTCCAACGCCACCTGCAATACTGAAGCCAAGCCCTGTGTGTGTTTGCATATGTGAAAGTAACTGTTTAGTTTCTAGGTTGTGTGGATGACAGTTGTATGTTAAGCATCATGAAATACCACCAATATATAACGCGCATGTGTCATGATACTGTACATGTCAACGCTTATACATTTAAATGTTCTTTTAAACCAGCAGTTTGTCTAAATATTATATACTGTATATTCACATTTTAAAGTTTTGGGTCACTTTTTTGTTGGAGGAACAGTTTTACAGAAAACATCTACTGTACTTTGGGTGACTACAACACCCCAATGCACAGAGCAGTACCGCTAATCTCATTGTAAAAACGAAATATGCTGAAGGAACAGTGGCTACTGAAATGTTCAACTGTTACAATACTTCTGTGTGTGATTGAATGTATGGTGGACTGTGTGTGTGTGTGTGTGTGTGTGTGTGTGTTCGTGTGTGTGTGTGTGTGTGTGTGTGTGTGTGTGTGTGTGTGTGTGTGTGTCTGGGCCCACCTTTGGGCCCTTTGATGAGTTTGATCTCGATGATGGTCTCCAGCATCGGCCTGCGGCGCCGCACATACAGGCTCACGATGGAGCCTGCCACCTTCAGAGCCTCCACCGCCTTGCTGTGGCACACCTCAGACACGTCGGCATCGTTCACCCGCAGGATGCAGTCGTTTACTCTGGAAGAGAAGCAGTGTGGAGAAATGATCATTATTATTAGTAATCATTTATAACGCCAAACAAGACGTCCTCTTATATGGATTCACATTATGTTGACTACTTTGTGTATTGCCGTTCTATCACAATTAAAAATAATCAGTGTTGATAAAAAAAATTCCAGCTACGAAAATGTACAAAAAGATGAATGTGTTGAATTGAATAAGGTGAGTGTTGTGTCTCGTTAGATTTATTAATATTATTTCTCTGTTTAGTTTATATTGTCAAGTCCGCGTCTGCTAACCCTTTTTGTTGTCTGCCATTTCCTGTTTTACTTTGTTATTTCTTTTCTCATTTCATGTAGTTCGACTCCTACCTTGTCAGTATGCTCACGGACCTGATTACCTGCCCCGCCCTTATTGTTTGCACCTGTAGAGTCCCTTGTATGTGTATACTGTATATTCTGTGTGTTCCCTGTGCCAGCTAGTTTGTTATCTAAGCTATTGTGAATTTTCAGTTCGTTTTTTGTAGAATAATTTTTTTGGAGTCCTAACTCTGCTTATGTGATTGTATTGCCTTGCTTATCACCGCAAGTAAAAACCTTTTTTGAATCATCTTTTGTCTGGAGTCGTGCATTTGGGTCCTGTCATTTTTTTGTGTGCTCCAGTCGTAACAGTGAGGTATGACTACTTAAGCATATTTGTTCCTCCATCTACATTTTGGATATTAAATTGTAATCTATGTTGCTAATGTATATTTATTAATTGATATTTTTGTTTTTCCACATTTAGATGTATACATTTATTTTTTCAAATATGCTAAATAATTTATATTCAATTTTGTTCAATGAATGTTCACAGTATAGTAAGAGGAGTTCTATTATCTGCCTCTAGACTTTTGCTCTGCTGATGTTCAGGTGTATATCAGTATGTAGAGTCTCTACTTTAAAGAGTCCTCTCCTGCTGATGTTCAGCTGTATATCAGTATGTAGTGTCTCTACTTTAAAGAGTCCTCTCCTGCTGATGTTCAGGTATATATCAGTATGTAGTGTCTCTACTTTAAAGAGTCCTCTCCTGCTGATGTTCAGGTGTATATCAGTATGTAGTGTCTCTACTTTAAAGAGTCCTCTCCTGCTGATGTTCAGGTGTATATCAGTATGTCGAGTCTCTACTTTAAAGAGTCCTCTCCTGCTGATGTTCAGGTGTATATCAGTATGTAGTGTCTCTACTTTAAAGAGTCCTCTCCTGCTGATGTTCAGCTGTATATCAGTATGTAGTGTCTCTACTTTAAAGAGTCCTCTCCTGCTGATGTTCAGGTGTATATCAGTATGTAGTGTCTCTACTTTAAAGAGTCCTCTCCTGCTGATGTTCAGGTGTATATCAGTATGTAGTGTCTCTACTTTAAAGAGTCCTCTCCTGCTGATGTTCAGGTGTATATCAGTATGTAGTGTCTCTACTTTAAAGAGTCCTCTCCTGCTGATGTTCAGGTGTATATCAGTATGTAGTGTCTCTACTTTAAAGAGTCCTCTCCTGCTGATGTTCAGGTGTATATCAGTATGTAGTGTCTCTACTTTAAAGAGTCCTCTCCTGCTGATGTTCAGGTGTATATCAGTATGTAGTGTCTCTACTTTAAAGAGTCCTCTCCAGCTGATATTCAGGTGTATATCAGTATGTAGCGTCTCTACTTTAAAGAGTCCTCTCCCGCTGATGATCAGGTGTATATCAGTATGTTGTGTCTCTACTTTAAAGAGTCCTCTCCCGCTGATGATCAGGTGTATATCAGTATGTAGTGTCTCTACTTTAAAGAGTCCTCTCCTGCTAATGTTCAGGTGTATATCAGTATGAAGTGTCTCTACTTTAAAAAGTCCTCTCCTGCTAATGTTCAAAAAGCTCTTTATTTTTCTCATACTGCCTGTGCTGCAGCACCCCTTTCATCCTCTCTCTAAAATCAGAGCCCAGTCTGCTCTGGTTAGCTGGCCAGCTCTGTTGGGATTGGTCAACCACTTAGAGATTTCCCAGCCCTTATCCAAAGTAAACAACATGTACAAAAAAACGTATAGAAATAAACTACAGGCAAGAAAACACCCTAAAAAGTAGAATAGGAACAATTTGAATGTGTATGATGTATTAAAGAGAGACAGAGTGGGTCAGAGTGAGCACATGAGTGTGTAATATGAAAATCAGTTAGCAGTTAACTTTGAATACACCTTAGGTCAGGCATGTGCAAACTAAGGCCCACGGGCCATATACGGCCTGTTGGGCTTTTGAATCCGGCCCGCCGAATATTGGTACAGGACAGCAGATAGCTTGCACATCTTCCGGCGCAAACTGAAAACTCATCTCTTTCGACTCCACTTCGAGCGATATAATTATTAACAAAGCACTTTTATACTAATAAAGGACTGGCTTATCTAAAGCCAGTTGAGTAGCACTTGAAATGTTTGGCTCTATGAAACCTGATGTACTTATATGATTCTGTTTTCTTCAAGGTTGTGTCTTCCTGGTCGAATGTACTTATTGTAAGTCGCTTTGGATAAAAGCGTCAGCTAAATGTAATGTAATGTAATGGTACAAAATTGTCCAAATTATACTAAAGACCATATTAATTTAGCCTTTTTCCTGCAATACCCGGCATTTCAGTTGATCCCACTAGATGGCGCACTCTAGACACAATTTACCTTTGCTGGAGTCTGGTCTATTCTCGGGCCCCACTCGGCAACCCGGCAAGGTCCAAGAACTAAATATTTCACGCTTACATTGGAGGGGGTCGAGATTAACCTGAGCAATAACAGTTCATGGCGAGTACGGCGAATACAAGTTGTAACAAGCAGTAGCGCTGAGCAAAGTGACTAGAACGCGACCACACACTTATAAAAAACACTTATATAAAGTCAGGAAACACTAACCAGGCTTAGTGTGAATCTGTTTATTTTACCTTAATTTAATAACCACTGTTATTACCACTGTTCACTGTTATTGACCATTGTGAAGAGGCAGACCTTTTCCTGTTTTGTATTATTGCAACTATCGGATGGAATAAATGCATGGGCTACATGTGGCCATCACAAGTAAAATCATAACGAAAACTACGCCGGCAAAATATGCCTGTAAAAAACGGCTTATGCCACAATATGATAGCAACAAGTAGTCAAGATAGTCTGATTAGCTTCGGTTGCTATGCTAACATCACCTGCAGAATGCCAGAGAAACTTTCATAACAGCGTTGTGATGCCAAACAGCTTTCAGACTAAAACACATTCACTGATGGGGGATATTTATCAGCTAACTGTGTGACAGTCAGACAATGAAAACTTTACAGCGGTCGCTGCCGCGAGTTAACGGGAGAATAAACTCCGGTAGACGAGCAGCACTGCAGCGGGCAGTAATGCAGCTGAACCACATTAATAAACAATGCACCACGGCACTCTGGAGAAAGGTACAAGGTTGGAGAAGTAGTTATTTAATTTAATCTGGCTTCGTATGATTAAAAACTACCTGACGCAGTCCTCTATTAATGTTGTTGTGAGCGGTGTTGCGGAGAAAAATGACACGATGGGCTCATAAGAACTCAGATGCTCGATTCCGTTGCTTTGTAATATTCTTTATTTTAAAGAATACAAAGCTTTTCAATAATAACTTCTAGGATCTACTAGGACTCTCCATAGAATCACTAGGTTCAACTAGGTAATGCAAAAACAGGTCTCTGGTAAACAGGCATGGATATGACGAAAAGACAAGACGAACCAACACAAGACAAAGGGAGAGAAGGACTATATATACACACACACATTAGGTAATGGTGCACAGGTGGACACAATCAGGGGCGGGAACAACAATCAGTCTAACAGGTGACACACGGACAGGAAGTGCAGACACCTGGAAAGAGAGGGTAGAGTCATTAACATAATAAGACAGATGGACAAACACTAAAAACACAACTAACAGGATACTAGCGCTAAAACCTTACAAAAAACATGCCGTGTGGACCATAAGGAGGCACGTAAACAATGACATAATGACGCAATGACGCTGTTAGGGAAATAATTGTCCCAGACTCCTAGATATGACGTACAGGACCAACCCTGACGTCTGTTTATCTCCTTTAAGGACATAGGCTGCTTCAGCCATAATGTTATTGTTCCCATTCTTTGACCGGTCAACACTAGGTCACAGATGGTCTGTTGTTGTGGGTGCACTGGGACATTTCTATCTTTGTTGTTTGTGGACTCCAAGGTATGACATCTTCGAGGCCATAAATGACGGACGCAAGTAACTCAGTGTGCCCAAACTGTATAAAGCTATCTTATCAAAATATGTTGATTACTCTCTGTGAAACCAGTTAAATGGTCTAACAAGAGAGAGGCGCGCTAGAATTGACGTGGCAACCCACCCGTGCAGTCTCACCGTGACTGCTGTGACTTGTGATGTGAATCTCTCCGTCCGTAACTCCAAATAAACCATCAGTGTTTGACATCAAAGCTCCTGCTCCACCGTGTCTCCTTCCTGAGTCGGTGACTCCCACTGCATTGCTATACAGAAGTTTCCCTTACAATTTGGCGTTGTCGGCAGGATGCCAACAAATCTTCAGAACTGGTAAGTGTGATTTTCAAATCTACATTTGGACATTGCCTTACCAGAATCTGTGATTGACGGTATCCTAAAATTACCTGTGAAACTGAGCGGCTGTGTTTCGTTTTTGGTTAATGAACATTTGGGGATAATAAACCCAGGGAATCAGTGTCTGGGGACTCAGTCCTGGCTGATTTTCTCTGTGTGTGCTGCTCGGGACGGAAGTGCCATACAAGTATACACAGCTCATGTTTAGAGAGACCTTAAAAAAAGGCATCAGTAAAGTGGAGCTTCTGTGTGAAAGCAATGTACAAGATTTGTATTGGACAAATCGCCGAATTCTGGGGGTTTCAGCGGCCAAACACAGCAGTTAAAAATAAGCAGCCAGAGATATTTCCCTCCATTGCCTCTGTGAGCACGGCTCCAGCAGCAGCCGGGGGTGTGTGTGTAACTAC